TGGGGATTACAGGGTAGCACATACTCAAGGGGCCCTTTGTTATCTATACCTAAGATGTATAACCACACTGTTGCCATGGCCAGTTTCATGGCAAATCACAAAACCACAAGTTTGTGTTAACTTAAAGACCACAAATATTGGTTTACCTCAATCCTTAAACATAAGCTTTTTCTTCCTTTTTTATAAAGTACACACTATATATATATATATATATATATATATATATATATACACACACACACACACACACACACACACACACACACACACACACACACACACACACACACACACACACACACACACACACACACACACACACACACACACACACACACACACACACACACACACACACACACACACACACACACACACACACACACACACTTCAGGGAACTAATGCTGATTTATCTGGTAAAATATTTTGGTCAACTTTTGGGTGTTATGCGATAAGTTCTTTACATTTGTAGCACTCTAATTAAGTCTGTGTTGTGAAGTCTACACCTACCTGAGGCACACATGTGTCCACGTTTTCCAGGGTCACAAAAACATGCACCAGTCACATGATCACATTCCCTGCCACCACAACGACAAGTCTGGCTACAATTTGTGCCAAACATACCAGAGTCACATGCTAAAACAAAGGAGGGCAAGGGTCTTTCATTAGCAGGACAGAGGATGCAACAAAGCAAGTAAATCTATGTTCCCTACATCAGATGACATGCTCACTAACATGCCCCTCATGCTACAAAGCTTTGCACTTTAAAAAGAAATGACAGACATATTATCAAGGTTACTGATATGCACCCACAGTTTTAAAGTATGTCAAAGTATGTGACAACTCTCCTCTAACTAAAATATCTTTCTTTACTCTTGAACTTATCTCCCTTGAATGTAGTATCAATACAGTCTTCCACATGCTAATGTAATCTAAAGTAAAACAAAGATAACTTTCTTAAATCTCATATGTGCATTGTCACTGACTGTTTTTTTTTTTCACAAAAAAAAGAAAGAAAGAAAAAAATACATAAATTATTAACTAGTTAATTAGGTCAAAAATACAACAGTTTAAATAAAATGTTACTAAGAACTGCACCTTTATTGCACACAGTTCCTATCCAGCCAGACTGACACTTGCAGCTGCCGTCTGCTGGATCACACGTGGCATTGTTCTGACACAAGCAACTCTCTTTACAATGCTCACCATAGAAACCATCAGGGCATGCTGAAATGATAGAGGCACTCTAAGATCACATGTTCCTTAACATTCTTCTAGTTTATATCCACGCAAAGTAAGCAAGTGGATAAATAACTTAAAAACAACATGATACAGGGTCACATTTCAACAAGGATTTTTTCTAGTGCAGAAACAATGTGAAGCCCTTGAGAAACAAAATGATACCCAATATTAACTTAACTATGTGAAGGAAATTTGTAAAGAAATAAATAATCATTCCAAACATTCATAAATATAGGTATGATTACTAGTATTTAGCATTCTAGGTATGTTTTTAATACATTTACAGATTCTATGTAATACATAACATATTATATATAATTTTTTTTAATTATGAAGATTCTGTCATCAAGGTCAATTCACTGGCAACGAAAGATACATATACTAAAGTAGCTTCATCAATATCATCAATGTGTGCTCACTCTGTGTACAGTTCCTCCCTATCCATCCAGGTTTACAGGTGCAGTCTCCCTCAGTTTGGTTACACAACTGGTTGGCATGGCACATACAGACACCCATACATCCATCACCATATCTTCCTTCAGAGCAGCCTGTGTAAATATAGAAATACATCAACAACAAACCAAGAATGGTACAGTGCTGGGATGTAAATACATGAAATAATACATCAACTTGAGAGAACTACAACTGAGGCTAATTTTCTGGCACCTCTACCTCTAGTGACTTATGTGTTTCTAATGATACTGGAATAAATTTCTTTAAAAATAATACTTTAAATAAATAATCACTGACCTTGACATTCACCATTCTTTTCCTTAGTCCCTGGACAACATATCATCTTAGTTTGGTAAGCAGTTTGATAAGTAGTATAAGTTTCAGTGCTATATTCAATTCTAAAAGAGAAAAATAGATATTTGTATTACCTTGATACATTTATTCTCAAATGATTTTGAATTAAATATATATTTATTATACATAAATTTAGATATAATTTTTTTACAAAGAAGTTTATACCAGTTACTTTGATTTATAAAATGTTGGGCCAGTTTCACAAAAGAGCATAAATCCAGAATTAGTAATGACTTAAATGACTTAAATTGTGGTCTAGTTCAGGATAAATCTTTAAAATAAAGTAAATACAGGGCTAAAAAAAGTCCTTTCTTTCTTTTCATAAAACAGGCACAATATTTCATTCATGAACTGATTGACCTAGGGTAAAAAAAGTAGAGTCTATTAGTTAAATCTAACTTTCTTAAGGAGATAACAAATGCTCATTTTGGCCATAAAAATTGGTTAAATATAATTTATTATATATCTGTGAGTTGTTAACAATGTATTTATTGTGAAATATGAATCTCATACTAGTTATGCACTTAAGTTCCTTAATTTATTCTGAGAAAGTGCCCCTGTGGTACACTCATACTTGTAATTTTAAGTTTAAATGAATTTTCAGTTTTCCTCAACTTTTGTTGGAATGACAACTTCAAAACTGATCGATTCTGATTTATGTTCTCTTATGTGTCTTGAATGTAATACTATAGCTGCATTGGTCAAATGTGTCCAGGATGTATACTTATATATGATCAGTTTAAAAGTCAAGTTAAGGATGTCATTTTGTACAGTCACACGGGGTTACATGAGAAGCAAATCTTTGACTGAGAAGTACATCTGTATCGAATGCACCTTTAAACCATATCATTCACCTTCTTCAATCAGTTCAAGTGTTCAATCGGTCTAGAAGCCATTTAGTGCTCTGCCTGGAAGTCTTCTCTTTTATAAGACTTAGAGTATAACTGAATTTAAGTGACCACTCTGGTAACCAACATTGCTATGAAGCCAATATTATGTAATTAGATATATATATAGATGGAAATAAATGTAAGGGTCAGTAATTAGTAGTTAGAGAGGACACCATATGCTGATCTCTAAAAAAAACAAGCAAAACATGATATTCTGTTAGCACAGTCATGAAGCCTCACCTGTATTTTGTGCTACATCTGCTAGGAAACAAGAATCTTGTCCAACCAGAGCAAGAGGGCTTGTAGTTGATGACTTTTGCAGTCATTTTTGTCAACAGCTTGCTTTCCATTACACTATAAAATAATGCCAAATGTCCATACCATGGTGTATACAGAGACATACCATTTCATCTCATACAACAGCAACATTAAATAAAAACTGGTATACACAAAGAATTAAGGAATCAAATTTAACAAAAACATAATGGAACATAATGCCTGGGATTTATTTTTGACAGTTTACCTTCATCTTGATGTATCACCTGAAATTCTGCTTCAATTTCTATCATCAATATTGTTTATAATAATATGTATTCATGCTGTTTAGAGTGACCATTGATCATGACCGCCACACATTAATTTTGTCATGTATATTTTCAAATAAAAAATTGAGAAATTACCTATATGTAGTGAATAGAGAACAGATTTCTGTTGAACCTACCTTACTGTTTGTGTACATCGCTTAGGTACAGCTTTATTGTGATGTACCATGTCCATAAGAAATATAACAAGGAATATGCCGATTTGACCCTTCATCTCGCAGGAACAAGAAATCCTGAAAATACTAATGAAAAGTGTCTACTTAAATTTGTTTTTCGAAATTACCAATTTACAGTCACCAAAAACAAAACCTCTGAAATATTGTCTTGAACATGAATTCATTCACATCACTTAAAGGTTAACTTTTCATAAAATCGTGAATTATTGTTTTATGCCTTATAAGTTATTTATTACTCTATCATAATTCAACAGAGTTACACCTTCTTGACAGTTATCAATTTCCAGGAAGGGTCATCTAAGTACAAGTAAAAACTGCCCCTTGTAGTTGTACTCATGTTAATCAGTCCTAGTAGTGAAATCTACTTTGTTTTACATTTTTAAAAAAATAAATTTAGGGTTTACAAGGTGTAAATATGTATGTTTCTGTCAACAAAATATATGCACACAAGACCAGTGGCAGTGAATCATTCGCACTCACACTCACAGATACGCTCCAATTAAGTCAACACAAACTTTTTATAGTTCCTTCACTTTCACCAACATATCTTACCTAGCGCGCTACACAGGTGTTTCTGGTCCCGAAGAAAATAATCAACAAGTTACGATCGCTGGATGGCTTTATATTAATACATCCTGGTAATGAAAGGGTGCAAAAGGGGGCTACATGCCCACACCTCCATATTTAAAAACCTTATGGCCTACTTGTTGCCACTTAAATTGCCTATGACCTATTTAAATTGACCTACATAAAGCGACCAATCATTTGTTGCGTTTCGAATTCCACTGACGAATCAAGTCCATGTTTTGAATTAGAAGCGACCATTTTAAACGAGGCCAAAACACAAGCCGCGATAGTCCACAGTACCTACAATAAGCATTGACAAAAGCTCGGATTCCTTCGAAAAGGGATATCTGATAAGGTGAGAAATCTATTTAGATAAATCTGTTAGAATTAAGAGAATGAAATACTGCCCAAACCTCTCCATTTAGACAGGTGCAAAACTTTTATGCAGCTTTTAAAATACTGAAGTTAAACCTCAGACATTTGACGTTCCTTCATCATCATGTGCATTAAAAAGTGTCATGTTAAAATAAATGCAAGTTTAAGTGAATGGTGTTATTGCCATCACTACGGCTCGTACGAGCCTCATGCACCATGCTATAGATTTCAAGAAGTATTAAGAATGGGATTTTTTTTTTTTTTTTTTTTTTTTTTTTTTTTTTTCAAACCCTCTTCAATTTTTTTTTAAAATTTTTTTTGCCCCTTTTAATCAGTATGCCCTTAAAATTCTTTAAAAAATGGCCCTTGACCCCTTTTTTTTTTNTTAAGAATGGGATTTTTTTTTTTTTTTTTTTTTTTTTTTTTTTTTTCAAACACTCATCAAGTATATTTTCAAAATATTATTGTGCCTCTGATCAATCAGTATGCCCTTAAATGCTTAGAAACATGGCACTGAACCCATTTGTATTTTATTAGATGTCTTCTACATCAGATGACAGTTCAACCCCAATGCTGCCTGAAGATTCTCCAGGAAGTTCTATCTCTAGCAGGCTACAGGTTAGTAAAAGCCATTCTCTGCTGGTAGTGGCACTTTTATTTGTAAACATGTCTTTTCTAGTGCTAGAATATGAAAGATATATTTGTAGTTGGGGTGTATATGGGTGTTAAGTGTGTAATAGTATTACAATGTTCATAAATGAAGTTCATAAATTTAGTTTATGATTTTCAGTTGTTTTGAAATATTTTTGATTTTCAGGATGAATATGATGAACTTTTAAAATATGCTGTAGTGGTTCCCAAATTTGACCCCAGCACTCTTCCACAAACACTTGCAGACATCAGAGAATCATTTCCCCAGAGAAGGGAAATGCCTACTATCCCAGAAAGACATGTTACTATTTCTGCAGGTTTGTTTCCTTTTGACTGAAAAATCCTGTTTTTGCTATGCAATCATTCAAGGTCTTGGTTATCAGTTATATATGCAAGACAATTTTCTAATTGACTTAGTTTTGAGACTGATGGGATTTTGGAAAGCTACAAGTACAGTCTTGCTTGATTTTCAGAGGTGGTGTTGGTAAGCTTCTTTATTTTTGTATACGTCAACTTATACTTTTAGAATGAATAAGGTTTTCATTCAATCTTCAGGTCATTGACTAATGTGGATAAGACACATTATATAATAACAGATACTTTGACTTTTTTGTTTTGCTCAAATAATTATTATTGTGTAATATCTTTATTTCATTATTTGGTATATTTAAAGAGGAGAGTTCACCAGGTGAATCAGTTGAAGAGGAAGAGAGAATCGAGGATAGGAATAGCTCCTCTCAAACAGGCAGAGCGCAGCAGCCATATGTTGACCCCAGTCAGCAAGGTCAAAGGGCACCATCTAGGTCACATGTGTCAGGTACAGGTTTCTTCACTTGGGCCTGTATCACAAGATTATGAAAATTCAGATTCACTTGTATAAGGTTGTAAAGAATCCAACCAAGTCGTACATTTTAACTGTAATATCTGTGGATCATTCGGCACTACATGGTCATGGGCATATATTTCAAAGTCTTGGATTTAAGGTGTTGAAACTGAAAAATGAAGATTGTGTGTGTGTGTGTGTGTGTGTGTGTGTGTGTGTGTGTGTGTGTGTGTTATAAGCTTCAGGTGGACATTTAGCACCAACTTGTACAAGTCTTGTATTAATAAGGAAAAAACATGAATTTCAGAATGCCACACCTTTAAAAGCATTTTGTGGTCAAGAAAATAAGGTTGCTAGAGCTTTGAAGATAAGTCTGAATTATAATTATGTCCTTACAGCACAGCTGCAAACCCCCAGTAAAATGGCTGGACTTGGTGGACAGGCCCCGCTGACCCCTGAGAGTGAGTCTTCCACCCTGAGTGCCAGCCCAGGGGAGGGTTCACCTGAAAGTCAGCCTGCTTACTCCCCCACTGTGGACCCAGATGTTGGCAGGATGGAGCAGTACCTTGACGTGTGGTGTGGGGACTTGAAGAGAAATGTCTTGGTGAGTGCCATGTGCCAGGAAATGTATCTGTATGAATAAAACAAACTAGAAAATAAAACGTAAAAAATATGAGTAAATGTCATAAAAGCACTTGGCTTTTTACTGTTACTTGGTGCTGAGTGGTAATTATTATATAAAACAAAAAACAATTACTGTAAGGGTCATTCGGTGGTATTTGGTCCGCAGACCTCAAAATTTAAAAAAAGAATCCTACTTATAAAACTTATAATTTCTGAAACCAGACACCATAAGACACCAGAATCCAAAAGAAATTTTAGGTTTTGATGATTAATTATGATTTTATCTGGAAAACTTATAAAATAGTGTTACGGAAGGACATCTTATGTCCTTAATGTATATGTAAAAGAGAAATGAATTGGAAAATGCATTTGAATGCAGTAACATGAACAAATGAATAAGATAATTAAGTTGTCATTGGTAGCCAGTTACTAGACCTCCATGTCCAAAAGCTTGAGTAAACCTGTGGATAATGAGTCAATTTGAGTGCAAGCATAATAATGTGAAAAATACAGTGGTTTTATTGTTTCTTTCTCTGTCTTAAGAAAAGATTATATAATTGAGCATTAATTTTTTTTTTTTTTTTTTTTGAAAAGTGACACTTTAGTGGATGCAGTTTGTATTTTAAATGTATATTTTTGCTCATTTCAGAATGAACTTAGTAGAATGAAGATCAAAACCATTGAACATGGACGCCAGCAACTGCAGAGAGAAAAAGAAAAGTATAATTCATCTCTCGATATTCCTTTTAAAAAAATATGAGAACAAATAGATAACATTGTTTTCATTTCAAATTTGGGTAATGAAAAATCTATTTTGAATTTGTTGGCATTTTTGTGTGTTTTCTAAAACCTGTTGATTTAATAGTCGGATCTAAAAGACTGTTCCTGTTTTAGGGTAGAACCAGACATTATCCACACTCTACATCTGTATGTAGACTAATAACACTAAACTGTGTCCAATAAACAATTTTTACAAACGTTAAGAAGTACTCAGTCATGGTGATATGATAATTTGGACCAACAAATCTAGACAGTATATACATCTTAATAAAACTAATTTTAGGCATGCATTGGAGGTGAACCAGCTCCAGAATGAAATGGAGGGACTGAAAGAACTTCTTAATACATATGAACAGTCGATACAGAGGAAGGATGAAGTGATCTCCAACCTCACCAGAGGGCTTCAGAAACAGAGGGAAAAGTTTGAAATGCTGAAGACATTTTGTGACTGGAAAATCCGGCATAGTGAGCAGATGAGAGAGGTAACAATATGTTGAAACTTTTTTTTTCTTTTGTGCTGCCAATAATAATTTATTATCTTTTAATTTAAAATCCCACCTTAAAATCAAACTTGTTAGTGTGAGAGGTTGTTTTAAGAGCACTTTGAAGGGCAAATCTAAATCCCTAATATAAAACATATATATATATATATATATATATATATATATATATATATATATATATATATATATATATATATATATATATATATGTCTTAATTAACATCCCTTTAGGGCATACTTGTATTCTAAATGACAAGATTGTATCACATACCCATTGGTAAAAAATGGAAAAAAATGCATGTTAGAACGTTTGCTTTATTGTTGTAACACTATGATAACAACAGCAACTTGTTTGATTTATCTCCTGTAGAAATTTGCCACCAACTTGGCCAGGAAGCACTACCACAGGACCCTGTCACAGAAAGTGTGGGCCTCCTGGCATGCCATCATAGAAGCCAAGTGGAGACAAAGAGTAGAGAAAGCCTGTCAGGCTAAAGCACAGGAAGTCTGTATAGCTCTAACCAATGACTACGAGACAAAGTTAGCCTCGGTGAGTTGTGCTGAAGTTAAAGCTCGTCTCTTTATAGTTTATTAAATAGTTTGGCTACCTGTAAATAGTTGGATAAATACAATGGCACTATCAAGTAAAATTACTAAATGATAAAAATGAAGATATTGGTGGATGCAGAAAACCAAAATAAAATCCCATTGTATTAATTTAAAAAAATGATAACTAGTTTTAAAAGCTTGCTGGTCAACATTGAAGCTTGAATAATGCACTTAAAAAATCTCCCATTGAACATTTAGGTCTTTTAAATGACTTGGTTATCCTTAGGGAATATTTGTTAGTTTATCTAGGTTCTAGAGGATAGTAGTCTGTGATCAGGGTAATTAGTTATCTTTATTAACAATTTTTTTGTGTGTATTGAAGCACCTTTTACTGAGTAATTCAAGCTTATACTTTCTTTGCAGTACAGCATTTAAGTTCCTGATAAATTATCTTAAGTGCTCTTTCCCGAGATTGCTCTTAAAGTCAGAGAATTTGTTAGTTAAACCAAAGTGCCAAACAAGTGAAGTGCATTTTAGGACTGTCTGGTACAAGGTCATTAACTTTGAGGCCTTGTTTCAGGTTTTGTAGGAAATTCATCCATTTGTTTGTTTGTTTTTTGTGTGATTTTTGTCAGTTTATGGTCAGTAGATATTCAGGTTCCAAGCAATTAGAATGTTATAACAATAAATAAGCATCAACTAAACAGCCTGAAGATTATGTCATTGTGTTTGTATACCATAGCTGAATGAAGCACTGGATGCAGCCAGAACAGAAGTCGGCCAGCTGCATGCTGAGAGGGAAAAGTACGAGGAGACAATGAAGAAGGCATTCATGAGGGGAGTGTGCGCCTTGAATTTGGAAGCCATGTCAATGTTTCATGAAGGAGAAGACGGAAATGGCCAGGGTAATTGAAATGGAATTAGATTTGTCATCTTATTGGTCATGAATTCCAGTCATCTGATGTATAGTCTGCATAAAAGCTTTGGGGAAGGGGGTTGGTTCTCGGCCTGGTGAAATACTGATATTGCCAAGGTGAAGAAGTAACCAATCAATAAAATTATTCTTTTATGGTTTAAAGCTTATGTTTATCCAAGAGGATCAGCTACAGTTTTCTTACAACTCCAATAAATTTCCTTAGTCTTGGCATGAGTAATTTCAGTTACTGTAACAGTCAATGGATTATTGTTGTAGTTTCCTCAGTTAAGTAGCTTAAATTAGTGTTTTCAATACACTCAAAATGGTAATTGAACAGCTTTTAAGGTTACTAAGGCTTTATATTCGCCGATAAAATTCTACACTGGATGCTTCTATCACATATATTCAGGTGATGGTCAGAGTGATGGTGGGTCCCCAGGGGATGGGGGCAGTGGTGGTGGTGGTATGGTCATACCCCAGGAACCTGTATACAGCACTGAGAGCCAGCAGAGGTTGCCCTCCCATCTCACATCTACGTCAGCGCCAGCCCAGCCGAGGGTGGTCACAAGTCAGGCTGCACTCTCACACTCTTATGTAGCACAGACAGCAAGACCACAGGTATTGCTGCTTTTGTGTCAAAAAAACATTTTAGTAAATATTGAGTACTCATTCTATTTTTCTAACAACGGTTATCAAGAAAGCTAGTGAACTAAAACCTTTTTCGTCTACCTCATAATATTTATCAAATGATACTGTGTAGAATAATAGCATCAATTTTGAGAAATGAAAGATTGAAGTTCTGCAAGTGTTTATTGTACCACCAGCGTAGGCGNATTTTTTGCATATTTTGAAAATTCTCTTTGATTGCATTTTTACAGCTTGTCAAGCACAAGACTGGTGGCTGTCTTCCTTTTTTTGTGTATGTGGGGGTCTATACGAATGTGCTTGCTCCAGCTGGTGGTACAATATTCGGAGGCGGTATCGCCTCTCTGATCCTCTAGTTTTTGCAACCCCTTACTTTATATGCACACTTGATACTGCCTAATGATAGGCATTAGTACCTCAGTTATATTTGAAGATATTAGTCCACTAATGGAACCATATCTGTCTTGTACTTTCAGATGTCCAAGCAGGTCAGACCTACGTCCAGTCTGAAGGGTAAAACAGTAACTGCAACAGTCTCAGCAAGGCCGGACGTGTTAAGGAGAGGTGACCGCATAGGTGGTGAAATACCCACTATGGGGTTAGCACCACCTATGAGTTCAGTTTTAGTAGAAAGACATCAACCTGTAGTGAAAGTAAGTGAATTTAAAAAGTTTTGGGGTTTAAATGGCCTTCTTTTTCTGCAAAAAAATTTGCAATGTCAGGGTGCATAACATCTATTACACAGTAAGCAAATTTATTTTTAACATAATTTATTTACAATCTTCAATAATAGATATGTTCTTTCATTTTCACCAGGAAAGTGGTTTTCAACAACATACTTTTAGAAATTTTTATGATTTGTATGATTTACCTATTTCCATTCCATCAAAGACTTGGACGTGCTACTGCCTTGCAGTACTCAAGATATGAGTATATGAACGGCTTAAAGCTTATTTATTTATTATACCATTGATATAATTATTTCCAATTGCAGCAAACAATTGGCCATGCCACCGCCATGCAGTACCCAAGATCGGGTCAACCATTACAGAGACCTGGTCCTACACAGCCCAGGATAGTTCAGAGGAAGATAGCTGGACAGACAGGCCCAGTACACTTAGGGTCTCCCAATGTACACACAGTCAAAGTGGTGTAGTGATTGGTGCTCTCTTGAAATGTTGATTTTATTTCACTAATTAATGTATTTCATAATTGGAATGTAACGGTGATATTTTAGGAATAACATTTTAAACCTCATTGGATGTAAGTTCATTCTATCAATATAAATGTTAAAATGTGGAAGTGTTTTAAGGCTAGTATGGATTTTTATCACCTCAGATATGATCTTATCTTGTATTTTTAAATAATCTCATGATTTTTAAAAACGTGTGACAACTGTAAAGTGAACTTGCTTAACTGATGGTGTTGTAAAAAGTTAAAATGTTGTAAGTGTTTATTATACTAAAAAAATGTGAACATTATTTTGAACAATAAGGCAAAGGAATAAATGACTTCTTGTTAGATATCTTTTATTGGCTTTTTATAAAATTCAAGTTCTTCAGCTGACATATTACACCAAAGATAAAAAAAGACATCCACTGTCACAAAAATGCTAAGAAGTCAAAGGACCTTTCAGCAGGGTTACTGATCAAAGTTGTCTTCTGGGTAGTCTACGAGGAATTGTCAGAGAACTGTAAGATATTCTATAACTCAGTTTTGTCAGCTACCAGTTAATGGTTTCTGTGCCACAAAATACACACAGTCGTAGACATACTTCAACATAGACTTGGGGTTCTCTGTATACCCGGACTTGATATTCGTCTTCTCCTCCTGAAACAAAGAAAAATTAAGGTTCTGATTCTCGAGGTGTTCTAATTACATGGGCGCTGTTGTATTATATTTTACTGACACAAATGTCCTGGCAGTGGCAGCACTGAACAAGCACTTAGGGTGGTGTTTATCACAGAAGACAAGTTTCACCTTGTATGGAAGTTGGATAATAAAAAAAGGGTTCATTAGTTAGGAAAATAACTCCAGAATTTCTTGGTATGTTCTTTATAACAGATATAACTGTTTCCTTTCCATGTTTCTGTTTCCTTAAAACCTTATCATGTATAATGTTCAATCTTACCAGGATTAGGAAGCCCAACTGCAGTATAACCTTTTTGACATCTTCATAGCTGAGCTCTATTGACAGTTCATTAGGCATGTCGGCAAAGTGATACAGCAAAGGACCTATAAATAGATGAAAAAATCTCTACTTGATTTTAAGAATTAAAACCTTAAAAACTGTTAAAAAGAGTATATAATTAAATTTTTTGGTCAGTTATTTGTAACTTACACTGGGTTCCCATGCCTAGATTGATCTAATAGGATCGATCCATCTCCAAGGAGTTTCTCATTAAATTGCTTTCAGCAGCAGCTTAGATGTCTGGCACGCCTACTGAAGCTGCTAAACAATCATTAATTACCCGCTAGCAGCTTCAGTAGGCATGACAGGCATTTAATCCACTAAAGTTGATAGCAATTTACAACAGTATGATAGTGTCTGAGAATGGTCCCTATGTTTTGTGCAAAGCCATGTCAACTCAAACTTGGGAATTTTCTTGAATATGTCTTCAAAGATAACTAGCTTTCCAAAATAAACCATAAACAGTGTTTCATGATAGTACACAATAAATGTAGCTGACATACTTAAAGGCGCTATTATCACCTATGACAATCATTTACAAGTTAATCACAATTTGCTTTAAGGGTTTGGTTTAAAGAGAAATAAAAAGAAGAGGTTACCAAGCATATAAATCTTTACTAAAATGCACCTTAATGGTCTAAAATTCTAAGCAGTTTTTGCTAAGACTGGTTTTAGTCTTTAGTTGTTTTTTGTCAAATGGACCATGGGTGTGTTTGTTACCAACCCATATTTATCCAGTAACCTCCTGGTTTCAGTATTTTCCATATTGTTTCCAAATAGGCAATCACATTGTGAGCTGTGTCTATAAAAAACACTGTTGCTATACAGTCCCATGTATCTGAAAAAAAAGACACTGTCATGTAATCAGAGTTGTTGTCTTCTGCAGTAGAGAACACATACACATTCAGTCTTATATTAGTTCCTAGATGGCAAGGTTTTGGGTAAAGTGAATCTGATCCTCTATACGCAAATATGTGCCTCTTTAACTTTTACCTCTACTTACATACATTTACACCAAAAGAAAACACTCATAACTATGGCAGTTTCTGTAATCAACAGACATAATTGGAGCTTTTGTTCCTCAATAATTTTATGTCTCTTGCATCAGCTTCTTTAAGGAATGAGGCCACAGATGCTGATTACAGAAAATATCATAAAAGTTAAGTGATAAACACAGCTGATGAAATCATTTTCTATTAAAGGTAAAATGTGCTGAATTCTTTTATTTTGATAAAAAAGCTGAACTTTTACCCACTTTTTATAAAAATAAATAAAAATTTTACCTGCTTCTGTATAAACTTCTAGGAAATCTCCAGCAGCCATAGAAAACTCAGACTTTGACGGCATCTCTGATGGGTTGATGTCTGGGAATTTCACAGCTTTCAGTTGATCCGCATTTGACATGTTGTTACACCACTGATGCACCCAGGGATGGATAGTGTAGATCTCAATACTGTGACATCTTAACAAATATGTGAGAAAACATGTTATCATATGATGTCTGTAGTATGCATTGATTTGAAATGTGACAGTTGGATTGTGTGCAAAATTATGCCAAAAAAATAAACTGTTATGAAGATAATGAGAGTAAAAAATATAAATGTGATTGAGACCAATATGAACAGCCTTTCTCTCTTTTTTTTTTTATCTTTCAAGAAAGAATATCACCGCTCCCGTATTGAATCTGCTGATCAGAAAACACTTTTCAAGATCGTGGACCAAATATCGGAATCAAAATCATCTCAACTGAATGTCCTCCCAGACATGGAAATCTCAGAGCTCCCTCAACTTTTTTCAAATTACTTTACAGATAAGATCAAGAGCATTCGAAATGATCTCGTTTCTTATTCTTCTGTAGAAATCTCAGAAACCCCAGTTACCTGTACTCATGCAGTATTGACTGAATTTTCACCTGTATCAGAAGAAGATGTTTTAGCATTAATGAAAAGCATGAATTCTAAATCTTCTGCCTTAGATCCTGTGCCAACACATATTATCAAAGAGTANGGGTGCGTATTCCTGTCCTGTCAGAGACTACCTCACGGACAGGGAAAGGCAGCAGGTATTGAAGACAAACTTCACACCCCGTTTTTATGAGGTAACGGGGAAAAATGCCGAAAACCCCTCAATAAATTTCCACGTGTTGACGGAAACCTGTGTGCTCGCAACTGCAAGATGGCGGCAATGCTGTATCATAGCAACCACGCGGGACTGCGAGAAATTGCGTTATCAATGCAGAGAAACAATAGAAATGCACCAAAGCACAGTGCGCGCTACCTTGATAATAAGCTGTTCAGACGCCCGTGGAGCTATCAAAACAGATTATGTGAGACAATAGGCGAATGTTTACCCGAACGCACATAGCTTCAAAGGAAGATGCCGCGTTTCTTGTCCTTCTCTATTTAGGTCCAAGCTTTAGTTTATCAAATAATTCAAAAGAGAGACAAGAGGAAATACACAAACTACCATAACAACAAAAGATCACAATTGAGGAAACTTGAATACAATATACAGACTTCAGGCTGAAATTAAGAACCAATCGGATAAGGAGCTAGCAGTTAACCTAAAAAGGAACTCCACCAATCAGGGAATTAAAGGATTATATGCATACAACCGAAGCACAACTCACATGAACCAATCAGAATGAAGTAACATCAAGGAGACCCTAAACATCCGTGCACTCTTTTCTTATAACCAGATTAATTGTGGGATTAAGCATAAGTTTGTTTACACAGCAACTAATGATGTACCACCCCTTATCACCCTATGGGAAATGGCATGTGTGAGCATTTCAATCATACTCTTTTGACATGCTGGGTACTCTTGAGAAGGAAGAGAAGAAGAACTGGAAGAGCCCTTTGCCATTTTTGGTCCATGCGTACAATAGTACCATTCACCTTTTTCATTAATATTTGGCCAAGAATCTCATCTTCCTTTAGACATTTTGCTTGATAAGGATTGCCATGAAAAATCTCAGGAATGGTACACACAATACATGAAAGACTTTAAATCCAAATTACTCAAAGCTCACCATTAGCTAGAGAAAACCCATTTTCAGACCCGACTCTTGTGTTGTTCAATAAAACAAATAAATCTGACACATACAAGTGCAAATCATTACTTTTTAATGCTTTTTTCACCTATATAATGACCTTTAGGTAAATATGCTTTGATACCATGTTAGCAGTGTGATTTATATTGATTGATTAACATTCCATTTCAGCTGACCATCGAAAAAGACAAATACCATATCCGTGTTAAACGTGGGAACATAACTGTGAGGCACCTGCTGAAAGAGATATCCAGGGAATGTTTCCACTTTCTTTTGCATGGTGGTGACATCCAGGTGGAAGTGACTGATAATTAAGCCTAAGAAGTCTACATTGAGGCAGAGTGGCCAGGAAGTACCCTGTGTCCTTCTCTTCACGTCCAAGAATCCAAAACTTCTGAAGAGGACAAAGGATCTCCCGACTTCTGTTATTGGGTGTTGGTAACAATATTAACAGGAAGCCTGACAGTGCTTGGAAACTGTCACCAAATGGCCCTTTTCAGGTCCACTTCATATTGAGAAAGTATTTATACCAGTATGTTATGAAACCTTTAAAACACGCAGTATAATAGCAATTACATGTTCAATTCTGATCCTTTTCAAATTGCATATCGTAAGAACAGGTCTACTGAGGATGCTGTTGATATCACTTTACATAATGTCCTTTATGTTTTTAAAACGTAAAATCCCCAAATATGCACAACTACTCTTTATTGATTTAGCTCTGCTTTAATACGATACTGCTTTTTTAAACTGCATGAAAAACTGTGACGCTTCATATCCCTATTGTCTGACTTTTAAGTTTGCGGATGATACCACCTGCATTGTTCTTATTAACATTTCATGCAAGTTACGAGGTTCAGTTATAAATATCACTATTTAATATGGCATTCTTTCATTACTTAAGGCAAGAGAAATCCAGTGGTGGAAGGTCCAGAGGAAAGGTCCTACAACCTAGACAACAGAAGACCTCATGCTAGAATGGGTGGCCAAATGTTTAGAGACTACATTGGGCTACACCCTTCTCTTCTGGTTATGGATGCCTTTTCCACCCATACCACTGAGAGAGTGGTGCCGGCAGTACAGTGAGTGTCAGCAAAGCCAGCCATCATCCCAGGAGGGTGCACCTCTAAGGCCTAGCCCCTTGAACAAGCCATTGAAAGGCCATCTTAGGAGGCTGTGGTCTTAGAGGAGGTGTGAAGATGTCAATAAGTATGCCAGGTCTTACCGGTACCCATGTTCCATCCTCTTTGCTTATATTACCCACAACTCCTGGTCTGTTCTATATAAGTAATATATTTCTATTGCTCCTAATTTCAGGTGATATCCACCCAAATCGGGGTCCTCAAAAACTTCCTCAAAACCAGGTTGAGGGAGTAATTATAATGTTTGCTAACATTAGAAGCATCGGCGGTGAAAATGGTGCAAGATTTGCTAGAACAAAGAATTTTTGGGAGATAGAAATGGTGTCAACTGGATGAAGACCCCCCCTCCCCACCCTTGAAAGTCAGCATTAGAGGTATCGGAGGTTGAAGGAGATTTTTCAGGTGACGAGTGGAAGATCCACGCCTAGAAAATACGGTAGGAGAAAGTACCTTTGTTTATAGTTTGATCAAAACTGGGATGTTATTTTTTGTCGATGCAGAAAATCATTAAAACTTCTAGATCTCGCAATCACACCAGTCATTACACTACTTAAAATTACATATTTGTACAAAAAGACAATTAAGCATATGGCCAGTGGGCAAATTCCAACCAACCTCGTTTTTACCACAAATGCAATTTAAGTGGTAGACATTTCTCTCTTTATTATTCAAAAATATTTTCCAGGTGTTTGTGTTGTTCATGTCATCCAATGTCTGATGGACTAGAATGCATATGTTGTCGCAAGACCGACATTTTCATGATAACAGAAACATGGATCAATGAGAGAAATTGCAACTTTTTTGATGCAGACTTAAATTCCTCTTTAAATGGCTATAGTATTCAACACTCACCCAGGAATCATCGGAAGGGTGGTGGTATTGCTATTTTGGCGCGATCCAACTTGAAAGTAGTCAAAAACAAGTGCCTGGGATTCAAGTCTTTTGAATCTCTTGATGTGAATATTACAACTCGGAAAGATACATTGCATTTGGTTCTAATATATCGCCCACCATACTCTAAGAAACATAAATACACCATCCTCGACTTTCTAGAAGAATTCTCTAGGCTACTGGAATATACACTTTTCTCACCAGGTCACTTAATAATAGCTGGAGACTTCAATATCCACATGGACAACCACACTTGCAATGATGTCCGTAAATTCAAGGATCTGATTGAATCAATGGGACTCACTCAGCATATAAATACAGCCACCCACTCAAAAGGTCATATTTTAGATCTGGTTCTTACTCGCGCCGATTCATGCTTGCGGAGTTTTACCATCGACAACAGCCTCCCATCGGACCACGCCGCCGTTCACTTTGTAGCTGACTTTATTCGTCCACCGCCTATCAAAAAAGTGACCCATCGTAGGGACTTATCAAGACTTGATCCAGCAATACTTATTGATAAACTGAAATGTGTTTTTGAAAATACCGACCAGATCACGGACCCATGTATCTTAGCAGACTACTACAACACATCTATATCTAATGTCATGGATGAGGTTGCACCAGTTCTAACTAAAATAAAAATAGAGAAAACGCGGGCTGAGTGGTTTACACCGGAGCTGTGTGAAGAAAGGAAACATGTCAGGAAACTGGAAAGGAAATGGTGTCACTCTCACTTAGAAATTCATCGGCAATTGTTCATATCTGCGCGATCTCACTATCACTCTCTTCTTGTGGCACACAAGAAAGAATATCACCGCTCCCGTATTGAATCTGCTGATCAGAAAACACTTTTCAAGATCGTGGACCAAATATCGGAATCAAAATCATCTCAACTGAATGTCCTCCCAGACATGGAAATCTCAGAGCTCCCTCAACTTTTTTCAAATTACTTTACAGATAAGATCAAGAGCATTCGAAATGATCTCGTTTCTTATTCTTCTGTAGAAATCTCAGAAACCCCAGTTACCTGTACTCATGCAGTATTGACTGAATTTTCACCTGTATCAGAAGAAGATGTTTTAGCATTAATGAAAAGCATGAATTCTAAATCTTCTGCCTTAGATCCTGTGCCAACACATATTATCAAAGAGTGCATTACTGTTCTGGCCCCAGTTATTTTAAAGATAGTGAATCTCTCTTTTACAACAGGCATCTTCCCATCCAACTGCAAAGCAGCAATTGTTAGACCCTTGTTAAAAAAACAAGGCCTGTGCAAACAAGTGTTTAAAAATTATCGACCAATATCAAACTTGCCCTTCTTAGGGAAGTTTCTTGAGAAAATGGCATGTATACAACTGAATAACTATCTAGCTCAAAACAGTCTATATGGCAAGTTTCAATCAGCTTATAGAGAAGGACATAGCACAGAAACAGCTCTCCTAAGGGTTCATAATGACATCATGCTTTCTTTAGACAAACAAAAAGATGTTATTTTAGTCCTTTTAGATCTGTCTGCTGCATTCGACACCATTGACCACAACATACTTCTGCACAGACTACAGTACCGATTTGGAGTAAAAGATTTAGCACTTAATTGGTTAACCTCATATCTAAAAGATCGAACACAAAAGGTGTCAATTGAGTCGTTGCTATCAGAGCCCACTATTTTAGAGTATGGTGTCCCTCAGGGGTCTGTGCTAGGTCCATTGCTCTTTTNGCATTTTCTATAATTGAAGAGAAATCTTAAATGGGCAATAATATTTTGAATACATACAAAATCTTAATAATTGAATCAAATATGGAGCCTGTGACCTTTGGCATGATTGAAATATAACCTAATTTAGATGTTACCTAACCTCCGTAACGAAAAAAATACTGGACCATGTTTACACGTGCATATTTCTTTAAATACAGTAATGGTGTGGGTTAAAATTCTTCTACTACTCTCTGAATACCTCTTCATCAAAATAATATAAAAAGTTTTCCAGTTTTGCAAAGTTCATATCACTGCATTTCTTGTTTTGGAATTGTACCCCTTTTCGTGGAATGGCCGTTACTCGCAGACACAATAAAAGGAAACTGTCTTACTTGTTTTTCTCAAATCTACTGAAATGATTCAAAAGTAAATTATATATAGTCCCTTTTTTAGTTACAATCTGCATATCTTTCACTTTAGAGTCAATAAGGCACTTTGTCATATTTTGCAAATTAGAATATAGTTACCAGTTTTAATTCAGAGCCTTTCACTCAAACATTGGAAATTACGGTTCCGGGTGTCTGTTCCACAACCTAAGATGACATGTCCACGACAGGTGGCGCAATGTGATCCAGACATGTCGTAATAACGTAAACATCGATTTATTTTAGGCTTGTAGTTTTTACACACATCAACACAGTTATCAATATAATTTGAACTGACAAGTATCTGTAGATATAGAAAACGACTTTCATTTTTTCTGTAAAATATCAAACTTTTCTTCAATTTTATTGTGGAATAAAATATTAAATCAAATTGTGCATTCAATCTCACTGACAAACGCACTATAAACATTTTCACAGTTATTAATTTATTGATAGTTATTGATTAATTGATTGATAGTTATTTACTAAAGATAACATAAACCTTGTACATTGTATATACAAGCAAGGCGATCATAGGTAAAATGCTGAAATCAAAATAAAGTGTATATGAAAGGTGATCACAATACAAATAAATAAATTTTTATACAATCTTACTCATCTAAAAAGAAGTTTAACATGTCTTGGACATAACCTTACCACGTGGGCAGCTGGTTACTCTTACAGCCACACGATATCAACTGCACATATTCATATGCATACAAACAAACTGGCAGCTCACCTGTAAATTACATGGCCAATTTACATGCTCATTATGCTGTTAACAATCAAAAGGATCAATCGGGATGGGCCAGTTAGAAAGAGGAATAGATTGGGATCTGGCCTTTGACATATATTAATATACACGTGTGAATAAGACGTTACATCATTATTTCCTTTTGTATTACTTACACATTAACTAAAAATAAAGAGATGTATCATGAAACTCAAACAAGGCAGCACAGCTGCTAAATGTACATACAAAAAGCGCAAAAGAATGATGCACAAAAAGGTTATTTTGTCAATTTGGATGCAATATTACGTAATGCTTAACAACAAAATCAACACTACATTTTATTATGCACTACAGGTAATACGGATATTAGGAATATGTAACTAACATTAGGCTTCAGAAACATTACAGTTCAAGTTCATACACTGCATAAATTTTAAAAAAATATAATAATAATAATAACAACAACAATAATAATCAAGCTGTTTTTTCAATTTCAGCTGTATGTGTCAATCCTATAGTAAGCAGCATTGTAAGTTACAAAATAATAAGAAGCACAGCTCTTGCTTCATAACATTTGTGGTGGCAGTGCACAAAGTAAGTTTTTCGTCAATTTTGATGCAATATTACATAATGATTGATACCATAATCATCACCATCGTTTAATAAGCTACTATGCATAACATGGACATTAAGAAAATGTAAATACAATTTGTATATACAATTTGTCTTCATATCTGTGGGAGTCCCGTAAAGAAAATATCAATAGGTGAAAAATGAAAATGTCAAAAAAATGCACATCTTCCAGAAAAGGAAGGCAATCAGACTGTTTTTCCGACTCAAGCTGCATTTCAATCCCGTGAATTTTTTATGTAAGTTTGAGAATCATAAGTAAAATGTTGGTCATTATGGCGGTACTATCAAAAATGGGATTTTCTTCAATTTTAATTCAATATTACATAATGCTCAACAGCATAATGCACTGCTGGTAACATAAATATTGGATACATGTTATTAACAAAGCTCTTCCGGCCCATGGAAGTTCAAAGCCACACATTGAAATTGCCAATATGTGAAATATTAACATTTCACAAAACAATCTGAATAACTATCAGAAAAAGACGCCAATAAGACTTGTTTTCCAACTCAAGCTGTATTTTAGTCCTGTGTTTCTTTTCTGTTAGTTTGAGAAGAGTAAGGTTTTCTTCAGAATATCACTGTGGTGGGAGTACCAAAAATAGGTTTTCCCTCATTTTGATGCAATTTTACATAATGCTTATCAGCAAAAGCACCACCAAGATAAGATGCCAAGATATATGAAATACACATTTCACAAAACAATTATAACTTCAAGAAACAAAAAACTTTCGAACTTAATATTGATTACTCCTGTACGTTTGAAAACAATAGGCTTATCGGTTCCCTTGAACTATGTTTTCTGTATAGCATGTATACTGAAAAAAGTGATAAAACACCTTTACCTTTGGAAAAATGGTCCTATCAAGCTGATTTTCAAACCTGACCTGCATTCTATGTATATCCATCAGTTCTACAAGTTTGAAGACAATAGATCAAACGGTTTACCATTTATTGTGTAGTTAAGCTGATGGTTTACGTAAGGCTAGCCTTATTTGGTATGAGGTTCGAATCCGTGGTATTCAGTCATCGGACACGAAGACAGCAAAAACTTCAGCTTCTCCATGGGTACCTACAATTAATAAAAACAGATGTTTGTGAAATATTAACCAATACACAAGTCCCAGCTGATATTGGATACATATTGCACATCTTTGTAATTTTAAGGTGGCAAACACCTCTGCCTCTCCATGGGTACCTGCAATTAATAAAACAAGATGAGCGGCGCGCAGGTTTAACCTTCCACTGAAATATGCGGTAATATATATGGAAAAAAAAGGTGTTTTAGGTTTCAACCAGTTCAAAATTAGCAACTTTAAATTCACTTTTCTTTTTTACATTTTTGGGATTTAATTCACGTTAAATATGTAGCTAATTCAGCCACCACCTGGACAGAATAATAAATAAACACAAGGACTGGGAACTTTATAAACGACACTGTCACTGCGTGGTCATTGGCGCCACGTGACTACCACGTGGTCTCAAAGTATCGATAGGATTTGACATGATCAACACATATTGCCGTACCTAGTGCGAAATGTGTGAACGATGTCCCCTTTGCGTACAAAAACATTGGATATTCGGCATAAGTCTCATACCCACAGCCTGAGTTACTGGTTATAAGGAGCCAGCCATGGTCCCACGGGCAATTAACCCACGTTTTACTGATGTAGAAGGTGCGCGTATCTGGAACACTGGAAAATAATGAAACATTCGGCAATATTCCTGTTCCTTGACTTGACAATCGTTAGTATGACTTCAGAAATCTTTAGTGTGACTTCAGAAATCTTTAGTATGACTTCAGTTAAGAAAGACAGGGTTCATGCAGTGCAATTATACGTCAATTGTGCATTGCTGTTAGATCTGTAGCTTTGATGAAAAATGATAGTGACATGACCATGATATTTATCGTTTCATCTTTAAAAATTGGAAAAGGGAAAGATTTACCCGACAAGTCCGAAATGGTAACCATACACATTAGTATCGGCTGAGAGAATATCGACATAAGTAGAGGAGAGAAGACGATCTCTGGCAAACCATGAAAATTTATTCGTGCCGGACGCATTAAAGACGAGTTGGACGACTTCTACCCCATTAGTATCATACAGCGCCACCTTTGCCTGGAAAGATTTCATGAGCATTTAAAAGATCAATAAAAATTCGGTTGTACATAGATTATTTTCTCACGAGAGTGGGTTTCGGCCGAGGATAGCCACCAAAACGCATGTGCTCTAAACCAGAGGCAAAAACCGGAATAGCGGATTTTTCCGACCTCCATAAGGTGTAACAATATGATGTTACTTAATCTTCATTGATTTTGTTAAATGTCAGCGTATCCAATTACTGATGTAAAATCAGTAGGGAATAAGTGGAAATATATATTATTCATACAATGGTGTACATCTACTCAGAGGCTGAAGTGTACTTTCTGGGCCCGTGAATCCATTGTTTTGAACATCAGATGAAAACTTGTATATTCACCATAAGTGTAATAGCTTATATTTAAATTAAGACAAAGCTATCTTTCTGTCGATTTTGCTTCAGCTGGTATTGTTGAAACCATTATTTAGTTCAGGAAGTAATGAGCACGCCATAAAGCCTATTAAATACATTTAACATTTACAATATAATACATACCCGTGTTACACCAAGGGTCTCCCAGGCCCCAAGAGATGACGACTTGTAGTGCTGATGCAATGTGGAATTGAGTTTTCGTGCTTCTGCATTGTTTTCGTTCAGTGGCTGGGAAGAGTTCCAAAGATCTAAAACATTCCCTCCAGCTCTTGCTACAGCTTTGAAAATCAATGTCCATTCGTTCCCTGCAATGAAAAACAACTTTCTGTGTATGTTGGTTCTAAACACTGGTTTTATAAGTAACATGTTCGGATCCTGCTTTACAAGATCCGTGCCATCCACCTCAAAAATTCAATTTTCTTCACACGAACTGAGAATAAAATATCCTCACGTTAATATCTCTGCAGGATTTCTCGTGTTCTGTCATACATTCACTTCCGACATGAAAGCATCAAATTTTGACATCACATGGTAGAAATTTACCCACGTGCGAAATTAATTGGTCCAAACATATTGACGTAAAGTGATACGTGATACGCACATACGCCGAGCTTAATTTTTTGACTGCATGCAAATATATTTTACAATACCAAAGTGTATACCTGTTAATTTATAATACCA